CTGTAACACCCTAATCTGTCCAGGTCTGCAGCCCCTTTCAGATTAAAGTATTAACTTGGTAATCGTAAAAATTTAAAACATTTCAAACACTTTTATTTATCACAATAATATTTTTCATAATATAAACAGTACGGAGTTTTCAATATTGCGGAAGCTTAACAATCATAATCACAAACATAATTTATTTATGTTCTTTAATTCAAAACCATCACATCCATTCCGACAATCTCGCCTCCGTCTGCCTCCAGGATCACGTCACTTCATTAACCTGCGTGTAGCAAATAAAACATACTACACGCTCAACGTTGAAGCTGAGTAAGCATATCTAATGCATCGAACATCCATATAAACTGAATCTAAATTCATAATCAAATCATTTGATATCATACACATAATGTTCAGTTCAGATAATCAATAATTATTAAAAATTATTCATCATGCATTATTCAACATTTATATTCACATTCAATGTTCATCAGTCATTCATAATAATTGCAATATTCAATTCAATATTCATCATTCAATATTTACTCATATTCAATATTCAACATTCAACAATATCCTTAATCTATTCTTAGTCTAAGGCCAATCACTTTAATATTTGTCAACCCTTAAACGAATTCTAGTTTAAATAATTAAACTATATTCCAGTATAACATATTCCTAAATAATCCTTAAGCTAGGCCTAGTTTAAGATAAAAGGGTTTTGAAAATCTTAAACTTACCTTTACTTAAGGCCAACCAAAAACCGATAGCGTAGTGTTCACTGTTGGGTGGGTGGTACCCCCAAACGAGTAGGTACTCAAGTTTGGTTCTTGGATCCCGTACATACGTTTTAACCCTAGCCACCGGGGTTCATACCCGCAAGGCCTAACTTAAATAGGTATATCTTAGAGGTCTTCTAGATACCTTTCAAATCAACATTAATATGGGTATATCTTATAGGTCTTCTAGATACCCTTAACAATACATTTTATTTTCACAATCATCAATATATTCATTATGATTTAATCATTCACAATTATCATTTTTAATCAGAATATTCATCAAGATTCAATCATCATAATAATCAATCAATAATCATTACCATAATCATCAATCAACATAATATTCAATAACAATTAGCAGCCTAGCTTCGGGTGTTAACACCCTAACTTACCGTCATGCATCACATAACATTTTTATTTGTTAAAAACATCATTTTTATTATGGTAAATCATTTTTCCAATGATCATAATCAATTGGTGGATTTTAGAGTATATACTTTCCGAATATTTTCGGAACAGGATCTCGAATTGAGGAAAATAATTTATAATAATCATTTAATTTATAAAAATTGATTTATATAATTTTAAATAATCCATTAATTCATAATAATCAATTTTTACAATTTAAATAATCATTTAATTTATAAAAATTGATTTATATAATTTTAAATAATCCATTAATTCATAATAATCGATTTTTACAATATAAATAATCGATTAATTCATAAAAAATCGATTTTTACAATTTAAATAATCCATTAATTCATAATAATCGATTTCTACAATTTAAATAATCAATTAATTCATAATAATCGATTTTTACAATTTAAATAATCAATTAATTAATTTTAATCGATTTTTACAATATAAATAATCGATTAATTCATAAAAAATCGATTTTTACAATTTAAATAATCCATTAATTCATAATAATCGATTTTTACAATTTAAATAATCAATTAATTCATAATAAACGATTTTTACAATTTAAATAATCAATTAATTCATAATAATCGATTTTTACAATATAAATAATCAATTAATTCATAATAATCGATTTTTACAAAATAAATAATCGATTAAATGGTACTGACTTCGAACCACTGATCTGAATAAAATTCTAATCAATTTTTAGTAAGTAAATAATCGATTTTCGACCACTGTTCATCATCTTCTTCCTCGGGTCAGTTTTAACATTATCATTTTTAATCACCAAACTTCAATTAAATTATATAGGAATGTTCCCCAATGTTCACAGATCATTTTAGAGTCATTAATTTGTAGTTTTAACAACAATTTCTTGGTTTATGATTCTTGGTTCTTCAAACATGTCAAACATAAAACTCAACCAAACGACCGTTTATGAACGTAAAAACGAT